CCAATCTTCAATAGTCCATTGCTTATGTCTTTTGGCGAATTCCAATCTGTCCTTCTTATTTTTTTAACTGATAAGTGGTTTTTTAACAACAATAGTGGGACCGAAAAGTCCCACTTCTGTCAACCTTCGTGACATAGTACTTTGACTAATGTCAGCCAAATTATCTTCGCGTAAGTCGCGTGCATTGATTGCAGCAATCTTTGTTACATCTGAGATAAACCTTTCTTTTAATTACTCTATTAACACGATTAGTTGTTTTTCTTGGTCGCCCAGGATTGCATTTAGCTTCTAGAGAACCCGTTGTTTTAAATTTAATAATAAAATTGATAACAGTCGAATTTCCGATAGCCAAAATTGTTGATATTTCACGGAAGACTTTTCCTTCATCGTGTAATTTAATCATTAATTTACGAATGTTTAAAGAGACGTGCGTTTCGGCATTTTGACAAAGTGTTACTGATCGTACAATATAGAAAAGACTACGAACTCAATGTTTACATAGATTTGCGACTGATAACGTGAACATAGCTAAGTAAATTACATTCTACCTTSATTAATAATACCTTTATAGAACATGACCGGATATTTATGAAAAACCAGAAACTGTCATATTTSTAACAAATAATTGTTAATAGTTATAAACAATATTTAAATGACATATTTCGATGGCATAATAAAAACGCTTTACAATGATATATTTGAGTTTTCATTYTGCATTTTGTAAAACATACTAAATGATTAAAGTATGTTTGGTCGGATAATTTTGCATGCAACTGTATAAGATGTATTAGAATCATAATTCTATATAACTTTTGATACGCACTTTTGGATAAGTTCTAAATGCTCCTAAGCAAACTTTASCCGCAGAAATAGTTTGCACAGGATCAATTACAATAGCGACAAATGGATCTTGATAATTCTGATTCATAAGTTGTGTAGCCACATCAATACCAAATAACCAACATMCATAACCTGGATGACTATGATACCAGCCAATAACGTTCTCTAATCTGYCAACCTAAATGGATATTTTATTACATTAAAYAAAATACTATGACATTRTGCAAGAAACAAAATGATCTTTTTTTCCATTTTACCTGTTTTATAGAATCCATRTATTCATATGTTTGAGCTTTCGCATTAACCCTTGTTCCTGTCCCTTAAACAGGTAATGCAAAAGAATCCATAACAATCATTACATTTCYTAGTACTTTTCCAATCAGAAYACCCATTACTTCGTTCTTCTTACCAGAACGTGCGTGCAWTAGCATWKTYAAMAAWGCTAATGCTRAGATTTTAATATCTTTGAAAAAATRAGGACTATATTGARCAAATYCARTGCATTAGAAAAATAAAATAAGATTTCTATRCTTAACTATTTCTATATTTAGCATAATGTTAAACTTATGGAAWTGTTCATATATTTATATTAGACCTACTTTTTTCCCATGGCTTAATACACAATATCTCTTGGTTTCGTTGTTTATCAAATTTKTAAACTTCATCACTAGCACTGATTGTTTCAACTTCATTTGACATTTCCCAAGTTTTCTGAGCAATAATACTTTGATCACTGGATGTACTAGCCATKTTTTATTTTCTTGTAAAGCTACAAAATATCACAGATTGAACAAATAATTTTAAATAAAAACTATGATAAAATTCATGTTTAATCAAGTTCATCATATATTACATTAAGTATTRGACATTCGCAATAACTTGATTATCATTAAAATTATAAAATTGATATACACATAAGTTCTAAGAAATTTACATATTTCATTTATTATAGTTAGCAAWATATTTCTTCTTCTTATAATAATAATAATAAACAATAATTTTTTTAAATGTAACTTAATTTAAAATAAATTCATACAAATATCTAACACAAACGAGCATTGCAATATAAATTTTCAATAATAAAAAGAAATTATTATCCTACTTTAATTTATGTTGTTTTCTAAAATTATCAATAATAACGAACTTAACAAACAAAAAATGGAAAAACTAAATCTCTGTACTTCGATTATTCGAATACTGTTATCGACATCTGCTGCCTTTGCTTAGAGTTATATTTAAGTATTTCTTGTATAAAAATCAAAGGTAATGACAACAGTAGGTATAAATAAATATTTCAAATTCTATTGGGAGTACATTTAAGTTTCCACCATTTGGCAAAAGACTGCGCCACCAACAAGCTATGTGTGGGGAACAAGGTCAACGGAAAAGGTTGATATAGCATTTCTGCTGCGCTTGCTTTTAAATCTTCCTTATAGCTAGTACGTAAACCTAATAAAACTGTTGGTAAAATATCAAMCCATTYTGTTGAACCGCTACAAATTATAGCTGTTTTGAGAGATCGATGCCATCGCTCTATTATTCCATTTGAAGCTGGATGATAAGCTGTTGTGCGAGTTCT